TCATTGGGGGGGCACGTGCCACCCCCCCCCCCCCCCCCCCCCCCCCCCCCCCCCCCCCACTGGCGTTGCCCTTGTTGATGGATAATGCTGGAATAAAAATGTACACAATGCATTTGCATTGACCCAGCATTGAGATCGCGTAAATATATAAATGTGTCGTTAAAACCCGCCACGACGCGACACAGCCAACTAGTAAGGGTTGTCACGTAAACAGAACACGCCCTTGTTGATTTCCATGTATGTCAACATTGCCTTCGGCGTTTGCTTAAACGTTTAATTGTAATGATCACACAGAGCGATCTGGACACAACGCGGACACGCAAGGCAAGCATTGTTGAAGACGTACTCATGGCCAGTGAGAAACACTTTACGAACCACCGTTTTTAGAACCAAGGCTTCGTATCAAATTGTAAGTTGTCATTCAGTCCGTTAGCCTCAGGCAGCTGCACGGCAGCGAACACGAGGAGTGGGGACGCTCATTGTGAGCGACGCTTGTCAATTGCCAGGGCACACAACCCAAAGTCACACAGGTGTGATTGCATTGTCAACGGTGACTCAAGCTGACAGGGGCGGAGGTGATTTAATGACAAGGTAGTTGGATAAGGCAGCGAGACATTTCAACGTCTAAAATTACAATTTTCCTGAAGACGACTGCTTGTGTTGCAATCTAAACCTCGGAGTTTTTTTGTTGGTCTTTGTTCTTTAAACCTATCTACGTGACTTTACCGAAAGACCCAATACAATTTAAGAGTTTTGTACCTAGACGCAGAGAAAAAAATATATCAGCGGTGTCTCAAATTTAATTAAACCAGTATAAAATTCATAAGCACGGCCTCAATGTCTATACAGGCGTTGTGTAATTGTGATGGGAATGGTCAAGCTGTCCAACACAACTGGCAAGCTTCCCCGTGACAGCCGGGGATAGAGAGTTCATAGTGACAAGGCAGCCGGGGATAGAGAGTTCACAGTGACAAGGCAGCCGGGGATAGAGAGTTCATAGTGACAAAGCAGCCAGGGATAGAGAGTTCATAGTAACAAGGCAGCCGAGGATAGAGAGTTCATAGTGACAAGGCAGCCAGGGATAGAGAGTTCGTAGTGACAAGGCAGCCTGGGATAGAGAGTTCATAGTGACAAGGCAGCCGGGGATAGAGAGTTCATAGTAACAAGGCAACCGGGGATAGAGAGTTCATAGTGACAAGGCAGCCGGGGATAGAGAGTTCATAGTGACAAGGCAGCCAGGGATAGAGAGTTCATAGTAACAAGGCAGCTGGGGATAGAGAGTTCATAGTGACAAGGCAGCCAGGGATAGAGAGTTCATAGTGACAAGGCAGCCAGGGATAGAGAGTTCACAGTGACAAGGCAGCCAGGGACAGAGAGTTCATAGTAACAAGGCAACCGGGGATAGAGAGTTCATAGTGACAAGGCAGCCGGGGATAGAGAGTTCATAGTGACAAGGCAGCCAGGGATAGAGAGTTCATAGTAACAAGGCAGCTGGGGATAGAGAGTTCATAGTGACAAGGCAGCCAGGGATAGAGAGTTCATAGTGACAAGGCAGCCGGGGATAGAGAGTTCATAGTAACAAGGCAGCCGGGGATAGAGAGTTCGTAGTGACAAGGCAGCCAGGGATAGAGAGTTCATAGTAACAAGGCAGCCAGGGATAGAGAGTTCACAGTGACAAGGCAGCCAGGGATAGAGAGTTCATAGTGACAAGGCAGCCGGGGATAGAGAGTTCATAGTGACAAAGCAGCCAGGGATAGATAGTTCGTAGTGACAAGGCAGCCAGGGATAGAGAGTTCACAGTGACAAGGCAGCCAGGGATAGAGAGTTCGTAGTGACAAGACAGCCAGGGATAGAGAGTTCATAGTGACAAGGCAGCCAGGGATAGAGAGTTCATAGTGACAAAGCAGCCAGGGATAGAGAGTTCATAGTGACAAGGCAGCCAGGGATAGAGAGTTCATAGTGACAAAGCAGCCAGGGATAGAGAGTTCACAGTGACAAGGCAGCCAGGGATAGAGAGTTCATAGTAACAAGGCAACCGGGGATAGAGAGTTCATAGTGACAAGGCAGCCGGGGATAGAGAGTTCATAGTGACAAAGCAGCCAGGGATAGAGAGTTCATAGTGACAAAGCAGCCAGGGATAGAGAGTTCATAGTGACAAAGCAGCCAGGGATAGAGAGTTCATAGTGACAAGGCAGCCAGGGATAGAGAGTTCATAGTGACAAGGCAGCCAGGGATAGAGAGTTCATAGTGACAAGGCAGCCAGGGATAGAGAGTTCACAGTGACAAGGCAGCCGGATTAAATCGCGTGAAGTTGACTTGCTGAAAGCTTACGCGTAGCCACCAGAACTAGATTAAAAAACCGTGCTAAATTTGGAAATGGCATTAATAATTATGAGCGCAGTGGTGCCGTGTACACACCGGATCGTGGATAATGATGAACGAATAATGTCACCGCGCGCAGTCCATCTCTAGGCGTGAGCGTAGTTGAATATGAATGTCATCGCGAGTTTTGACGCATTAACCGGAGCGCCCCACCCCCTGCCTGCTGCTTATACAAGTGGATGGAAGCGAACTCTTTTAACATGAATAATTTACCCTCCGTGCTGTTTCAGCCACTATTTTTCCAAAGCATCCGCGGGGACAGAGTAGCATTTTATTTGAAAGAAACAACAACAAAACTTCCCAAGTTATAATTTAAGCGATGTCACGTTTTCGAGATTAAGTGGCGTGTTTTTTTTTTGAGAATAAAATTCCTGTGGCGAGTCTGCTGGCTGCAGACCCTGTCAAGATACAGAGTAATCCAATACATATGCAACCGCATGTAATAGTATCCCCCCATGGGAGAAGCTTGCAGAATATTGATACATATATGACATAACATGTGTGAATTAGTTAATTAATTATACATTTGAGCTACAGGTCTTCTGCGCAGCCTTTTTTCATAGAATGACTTAACACAAATCCCAATAATATTTCTAACTAACACAGTGGCTTTGTAAGCAATGACATATAACTGGCATTGTATCGGAACAGGGCTCTCCTTTACGGCACGTAATGATTGTATGCCCAATGAAGTAGGGCCATTGCCCGAAACGTCACTTATTATATTGTTTTCCTTTGAAGGTCACAGTGTTATTGATGTACGCATTGAGGACGTGTTTGTTTGTTATTTGTGCTTGTATACCACTTCCAACGCACCATAATGTCTTAATGAAATGGGATAGGCTTCTGTGGGTCACAATCCCATGGAATATTCTTAGTGGCGAGATGTTAACTACCTCGCCTGGTATGCAGGAGGTCGTGGGTTTGATCCCAACCCCGACGCCCGCTGCTGTATATTTGGGATTTGCGTGTCCCTCTCCACGTCGTTATGTAGATTTTTCTCCGGGTCCTCCGGTTTTTCCTTCCACATTTAGAAATATGCGTTTACAGTATTTGGCTGCTATACATTTCCACACGATAAGCCAATTTATTGAACTAACATTTGCAATCTGGTCGCTTCTGAAAAAGAGCTATATAGATCAGTTTGTCTTACCTGGTAAAATAAAAAAATAGTGTAGTTTAATAGTTGAACTGAGCTCACTGAGCCGGGAGAACGATGTGAGAGTGTGCGGAGCACGGAACAGACCGAGACCTGTTGGTGCAGAGGAGGTCTTTGCTGTGGGTGGGGTGAACCTTAACAGGCATCTCGTCGTGTGGCTAGACAACCCCGGTTTAATCACAGGCAGATGCCCAGATTCGAACCCAGGGTCTCGGCTGTGACAGCTGCAGCACTCTGACGTTTTGAAGCACCTCGCGCTAAACATTTTTCTCTTCCACGTGGAGATACAGAGCAGAAGTCAATTCACTTTATTCGTCGTCCAGAAGGGCCCCAACTGTTGCGTGTAATTGTGTTTTTGTACATTAACGTCGCTTAATGTACATTTAGAATTTCCCATGAAAGATATAACCTCTCAAGTGCTTGGTGACATTTACGTGAAAGGGCTGCGTGAACCTGACCCTCAACAAAACGAATTTCTGCTGTACGCATCACAAATATAAAAACACTCATTAGCTTTTAATCATATCGCTTCAGTAGTCAGATTTTGACAAAAAAATTAAACCTGTTTATGTGTATGGATAATTGTGACGCTTTTATATATTGGTTGGATGTTACTTCTGTGAGTGCTATTTAGCGAATTCATTTCCTTAGCTTTGCTGTATTTTATTTTTCTTGTTATCAACTCACACCAAAGCACATCAAAATTGGGCACTTTGATGTGTATAATTGTATACGTGGTAATGTTTTTATTATTGTTATAACAAAATATTATTTATTGAAACTCCGGTCGTGAATTAAGCAGGGCAATGATCGAGTCGTAGTGCAGTGTTTGACGGTCTGCGCAATGAGCCGGGTGACCTGAGTTTGATTCTCAGTCACGGCTAACATCAGTGGCGAGTGGTAACTGAACCGGTGCCGGACCGCACCTTGACTAACGGTGCACGAATGGTGAAGTACTCCACCGTCAAACAACTCTCATCAGTAACGGCTTGTGGGGAGTCGTAGGCCTTCCCGCAGTACCGGATTGACGAAGAGTTATATTTATAGAATTTTCATCGTTATTTATTTTAATATAAAAACAACACCGGTGATATTGCAGTAGTGTTACAGTGCCTAAAGTACTGTGTTTTATATGTAAGAGCTTTTCAAAGCATTTAGAAAACAAATGTGAGGTTTATTTTGAATTCCTGATTTGTGTGTGTGAAGGCATGCGTACGTGGCGTGTGTGCGTGCCAAGGGAGTGGAAGCATGGTAATTATTGCACGGTTAAAGCTCTTGGCAAGCCACTGCGCTAAGAACCGAGTGAACTGAGGTCGATTCCCGCTCATGGTTAAACGTGAGTGGTGAATATCTGTGCGGCTTTCCTGGGTAAACAAGTCACTCATTATTATTATGGCCGCTATAAATGGGCCCTCTGGGATAACACTCCCTTCTTGCGTTTTTGCTCGGGATGTTGTAGGGCGATTCGCTCCACCTCGGACCTTGTGTCGCACGACCAGGATTCACACTTCCAACATTCTGACAGGTGAGCGAGCCGCCTGGCCAGGGAGAACAGTGCAGCAATAGAAACGGAACCTTCATTGACAAGGTCACCTGAAAGCTCCTTGCGTTCTTCATACCCAAGTGTCAACTACTGCTGTGTATGGGTCTTGCCCTGTGGCATTGGTTGGATTAGTGGATCAGAATGCCGAGATTAAAACAGCTGCTATGCTACCGTGGTTGTTTATCAGCTGTAATCTGTAGCGCTTTCCAGATCCTTCCACAGGCAACCTGGCATGAGAGGTCACTCGGGATTTTCCATTCACGGTTATGCTAATGCCTGGCACTGCAGCAGTTACACTTCGTGAATGTCAGTGTTTAATGTCAAGACACACTTCACCCGCCTCCCCACCCCCCTCCCTATATCAAAGTAAACGTTTGGGGTGCATCTTAGAATCTGTAGAACACAATGTCTTCAAGTATGTGGTCCAACATGACAATACATGGCCACCCATAGGACATGACACGAGCATTGTGGTGCCTCATCTTCCAGGAGACATATCTCGCCATTTCTAAACGGCGCATTTCTAATAATCTTTTAGAAGACGGCTCTGCATAGAAATACAATATCGCATACCTGTCAACCCCTGATCAGTGTCCGACCTTATTACAGACCAATTCAGACCTTATTGGTCACCCCGTGCCTCACCCCGTGCCCTTATACATCTCAACGTTCATCCTACAAAGTCCCATCACAAGGGAGAAATACAAACACATATTTTTCCGTATATTAGAATACGGATAAACCGTATGGGTTGACAGGTATGATACCGTATCCTCCCGATTATAAAATGCACTTCTTATTTTTCTTCAGGGTTTGGAGTGTGTCTTAACTTCGCAGAGTAAATTGATAATCTGGAGGATACGGCACTGTATATCCCATGGACAGTTGTCACCTCTTGGTTTTACCAGAGCGAGACGCAGGCTCAGTGTTGAACACGTTGGGGTGAAGGAGGCATGTGCTGGGTTAAGGGATATGGTTGGAGACGTATGATTGGAGTGTTGTTTTTGAATGACACTAATCAAGGCTCAGCACGAACGTGACTCTTTTTTTGCTGAACTTTGTTTCTGGAAAAATGTAACACTTCGTACGGTTTGTTGCCATTGCTGTGCTCCAGGTTTAGTGCCACCATGCCGGACAAGGAACGGATCCTTCCCATGGTGCTTTGGGGTTTGCACGCCCCGAATCACTGCGTGTCCAGCCTGCTGCTCACAGAAGACCAGCACACAATTGTGACCGGATGCCAAGATGGGCAGCTCTGCCTATGGAACCTAGACGAAGATCTCAAGGTGTTTATTATTATTACTACTACGCTTGTTTACCCAGGAAAGCCTCACTGAGTCTCATAACTATTTTTAACGCGGGCCCTGTCAAGTTTTCGCAGTAGAGGAGTGATCATTGCTACGTGGAGTCAAATTGACTAAATTGCGTGTCACGTTTACAATTTGGAGACTTTACACCACGACGCCAGCACACAATGGCCCACTCTTGCGAAGGGCGTCACAGGATCTCCGACGTCCGCTGTGATGCGCGCGGCGTGTTTTTATGGTGAATACTCGCGCAGTATTGAGCAAGGTCAGCCGCTGGACTGGAACCGCGAACCTCTCCAACGAGTGGTGAAGGCGCTCCCACTGGGCCGTGTCACTGCTCGTACCCTGGACTCGAGTGTACCTGGCCTGGCAATAACAATAATAATAATAGCTTGCACAGCTATTACAGCCGCAATTATCAATGATGACTGCGCTCAACCTTACGACGATTTATTTATTGGGGTAAAGTTCTGACTGTTAGATAATATGTGCAGTGAATGCTCACAAGCACCACTTTAAGAGTGAATGTTTTTGAATATTTCAAGTATTTCTCATTTGTGTTAAACAGTGCAATGAGTGATATCATCCACTCTCGTCCCGCTCTGATTCTGGTCCTGTCATCACGATCCATGGGCAAACAACCCCGTAGGTGTCCACTGCACATGTCGTCATTTGTTTCCACTTTCCTCTGTCTTGTGTCAGTGTGCTCAAGCAGTGCCACGTCTTTCTGGCACCAATCTCCTATGTCGTCGTCGTCGTCAAGATATTCTCTCTGAGGTCTTCCTCTGCGGTCCTGTAAGCGTTGGCAAACATTGCGTCGGCTCCTTTGTTGTGCCACGATAATTGCCGAGATCTCAGATTGTTGGGGTTCTTGCGGAGCACGATCGCTGCCATGCCTGTGTGCAGTTTCTTCCTGCAGGTGATTTTCCCATGCGTGTGTAAAGCTTCTTCCTGCAGGTGATTTTCCCATGCGTGTGTAAAGCTTCTTCCTGCAGGTGATTTTCCCATGCGTGTGTAAAGCTTCTTCCTGCAGGTGATTTTCCCATGCGTGTGTAAAGCTTCTTCCTGCAGGTGATTTTCCCATGCGTGTGTAAAGCTTCTTCCTGCAGGTGATTTCCCCATGCCTGTGTAAAGCTTCTTCCTGCAGGTGATTTTCCCATGCGTGTGTGAAGTTTCTTCCTGCAGGTGATTTTCCCATGCGTGTGTAAAGCTTCTTCCTGCAGATGATTTCCCCATGCCCGTGCGAAGCGTCTTCCTGCAGATGATTTCCCCATGCCTGGGCAAAATTTGCTTGGAAAAGGAACCCGAATTCTTTTCTACTGCTGTCATCGATGGAAAAAAAAACCCCTGCTTTTTTATTAATTTATAAAAGTGTGATTGTAAATGACTCATGGTTGTAAAACATCTCTCAGTGATACAGCGGTAAGACTGAATACAGTGATGGCGTTGAGGATAATGCTGGGCTTGTGCATAAATGTAGATCACTGTTGATAATTTGCGAAATACTGAGAATACTTCTTTGCGGGAAAAACGTAGTGCTATCTGTTACTCCTTGTTACGTATGTTCAGTTTTGCATTATCGCTTGCTTGCAACACAGATTTACTCGGCACGCTGAGTACTGTATTTCCCATTTACATTTCACTTGTGTTGCCTCGATGAACAGGCATATTTGCATTTTTTTTAAATGGGTCAGTTTGCAGTCAGTGGTTCAAGTCCCAGCTCATATCAAAGCCTGGTGTTTCTGTTAAGTGAATTGCACAGGATCATGCCACATCACACATTGCAAGCGTACTAATGAATGTTCCTATTTTTTATGGACCAACATTTCAAATTTTTACAAGATTACCCTGCAATTTTAAAACTGTTATGGTCCTGTGCAAAATAAGCCATTAAATCGGATGTCACCATATTAAATTAGGGATATCAAATGGCTTACTAAATTTAGCCACCCATCCCATGGATGCAATATGAAACCTAATTTGTATCTCCCTGCTCAACGTGCTGAACGTAGCCGACACATCTGCACGATGCTATTGCACAATTGCCCTGCTTGCATAATTGCATAGCGTTATCTCTCGCTCGGTCCATGGGTTACAGTCGAGGCAGCCTCAGGAACACTGTACCCTACCCCATCAACAACCTAGGCAAAGCGGGGCTCTGTGTTCACACATTGTGTGTTTATGCTACTTCGGCAGAGGCCACAAGCAAACAAAACAAACGTATTTCAGACATTTCAAATGTAAGTTTTGCTCACTGAACAATTGCAGCTCAGGAGTTTGGATCAAACATCCGGCAGTCGGCAGCATGGAGAACACGCACGTGGCTCGCCAACTCGAGGGCACATCAGTGAGCGGTAGCCATCTGCAGACTGCCGTAGAATGTGCAGTGTTAGCTGGGCAAGAAGACCACAGCTAAACTGCATTGTGATGGTGCAGTAGATATAATAAACAATGTATTATCTGATGACAGTAATAATGTAAGTATGTTGAATTTATTTTGCATCGTACGTAGCCAACTGTGCTAATCGGAGGTGTGGGGGAAGGACAACAAACGGAACACAAAAGCTGTTTTAAACAAATTTAATTTTCAGTTGATAGTAATAATGTACAGCCCTTTGTCGGTCCACTGCTGGATGACGGTACCCCCAGGGCTATGTCGATCATGGTGGCTGGTGAAGTAGGGAGGGATCTTGGCCTCTTTCACTAGCCACGGCCAGGAATCAAACTCAGGCTGTTGGGTTCATCGTGCAGAACGTTAACCACTTAGCCAGCACTTCACTCATAGTACGGGAGACATGCACACATGTAACACGCTATGAGAGATTACAGTGATACTCTGGTTCATTTAACTTTTTTTGGCAAGTCCCATTGACAAAACGCTAGCGGAACATCCAAGATTAATTTTCGGGTCCTCTGCCTGAAGTTGATTAATGTCTTTAATTTTACAACACAACGCCTCATTGGAAGAATAGCACCAGTGTAAATGTATGATCATGCAGCGGATGTAGACTGATCCTGTCAGTGCCCACAATCCACATGTATTGCGTGTGGATTAGGAAATTCAAGATGAAATGTCTTGCCATTAAATGGCTATGTTGTTCCACAATACACCCAAAAGGTCTATAGAAAAACGTGTATTTCTGAAATTGAATGCTCTTTCTAAAACTGCATGTTATTGTGCTGTCAAACCTGGCTAGAATTGATCGGTGGTTAAGGTGAGCGGATTACTCTGTACTCTGCTCTCTGTTTACAGCACACTTGTTTTTGTTAAGTTGTTAAATGTTGAGTGTGTCATTTACAAACAAAGGACTGTTGTGGTCAACAGAGCCAGCCGGTGCACCTGGCAGCACGACTGTGTTTACGGTTAAGAGCCACAAGTTTGAGGGTCGGTGCCAGATCGAGGTGACGAACGGTCTCAGTCCCGTGGATCGTGCAGACGAGGACTGCCCAGTGCTACTTGACACCGAGAACCACTAGCATTAGATTCTCACAGTTTTTTTAAAATAATTTTCTGCTTCACGGCACATTGGCAGTTCCACAGTTTCAAACATACTTTGAATACGTGCGTAATCATTGCACTAGAATTTATCATGAATTGGCGTTTTACTTGGACAGAGTCAACGAATTAGGGCTATAAATCTGATAGAAGCCATTTGTCCTATTTTCCTGATCAGGGAGAAATGCTCATAAAATGCCACGGTGTCATATGTGCTCGGTGGAACGGACTTTCTCATCCACGCTGGAATGCCACATTGAGTTGTGTGCACCTGTCAAACCATCGGCGTATTTCTAAAACTACGTAATTACCTTCCAAATGCCACCCCATGCATATTATTATGATCATTTAGGACATTTGACTGTTAGGTTGCCTAAGTTAAGGAACTGCCCGCCCCCGGTTTTTCCACGGTAAAGGTGACACGAAGATGGGGTGATTCTGACATTTTTTGCAAGATGATCTGATGATTCCCGTAGATCGTGTATATCATTCGACAGCAAGAGGCACTTGCTATGGCCTGCGCAGCAGGAGATGCTTCCGCATGCTAACGACCATTTTGTCCGCTGGAGAAGACCCGAGAATGAGGGCAAAATGTAAAGAGATGTAGAGGAAGCAGGAGGGAATATTGAGCCACTGTGAGGGATGCGTGAGCCACTGCCTACCCAGAGCGTGCGGACTGCTGCACAGAGACGCGAGAGACGGCGTCATACGCAGTCTCTAACGTCTCCATGGAAATGTGTACGTGGCGATCCACTGCTGGATGAGGGCCTCCCGCACCGCGTGTGGGCTCATTGGGATTATTTGTCCGCACTTCACGACGTTGTTTTTAGTTCAGGAACCCAACAAATACAAATATCCGCGAGGGAAACAGAGGTCACCAACGCGTAACATTTCCGTGCGGAACCCGCCTCAGAAAGGGGACCTGCTGGAAGCACTTGTGCTCACGAGGCCTACCATCGGCAGGGATGGCAGTCGGGAGCGGTGCGAAGCTTTCGCTGACAAAACATGAGGTGCCCAATGTACCCGCAGCGCTCGCACCAGACGAGGCCAACAAGCTTTGAAACACGACAAGAGAACGCCGCAAACTGTCCCGGGTCAACAAGATATGTTCACTGCCGTTCGCGACGTACCGTTACCCCGATAATTTTAACCATGGCACTGAGTTCCCTGATATCCCCTCTCTCTCTGTGTCTCTGAAATTCCCGACACCGACGCCGTCTGTCAGATCACACCGCGTGCTCTACTTTTTGGACACTTGGCAGGGGTCACCTGCCTGGGTCGGGCCAACCCGCTCCGCGACCACCCCTACGTCGTCAGCTGCGACGAGAACGGGTTTGTGATTCTTTGCCTTCGTTTCTTTATTTTCGTAGCCACCCCCCCCCCGCCGCCCCGCCCCCTCCTCCAGCCACACTCTCAAGGGCCACGCGGTCTCCTGTGATGCGCTTTGCTCTCGGGGTTTAGTGAGTGAACGGTGGCTGAAGAGCAACGTGGAATTAAAGAGGGTAAGGAGCAAGTTTTAAATCGGCATCCGTTAAACTAAGGGACACCGCATCGCTAAGTAAGACTGGAAGCGGAGGGTTAATGACGAGCTTTTGTTTAAAGATAGTTGTTGATTATTGTTGTTTACTATGAACTAGAGATTAAGGGACGCATTAATTAATCGATTAACATAAATTCTCCGGTTTAGGAAATGTTTATTGAATCACAGGTGGAAGACTTCCTGTCTGTTGGTTTGTATATATTGTACGTAATGGGTTCACAAGGCCCCTTCAGCCACTACTGGTTCTCCATCCCGATAATGTTTGAATAAAGATCATGAATTGTGACAATCGATTCACCGGGAGGATGAAATTGTTACACCTCTGCTAGGAATGTTTATTTCCCAGAGACATCTCGGGATATCCGCTTGGCTACATCCTGAATGTTAGAAAACATTTCAGCAATATTCAACTTGGCTACGTCAACTAACCTTGGGGGAAATTCATTGCAATTAATATAAACAGAATACTGTCATTTTAAGCAGCAACTTGATTATTATATTTTTTTCTGAAAATGCCTTTCACGGCATAATTTTGTTGAATATGGCATGCTCGATATCCTACCACTTCGGACTATGAAAATGAGGTTTAGTGGCAGCAGTGTTATGTGCTTAACATAGGCCTTGCTGGAAGCAATGATAACCAAGTAAATTCATTAATGCAGCTTTGTTTACATTTCTGGCTTATGGACTTTTCTCAGCTTGTGTTCTTTGTCAACAGTGATTAAGAGAAAATGCAAGCTTTTGTGCCGTCCTATTTGCATATCATTGGAATAGTATGGAAATTATTTTTGTATTTATCTAGAAGCCATATCTCAGTATTCTGATGTGTTAACTTTTCCAGTATTCTAATCAAAAATAGAGCTTCCTTATTCTGTTGATTGTTATTCAATGGCATGTTTGTGATCGACCTGCATGAATTTATATTCTCTAAAAACTGAAATGGTCTATATTTGACGTGCAAGGTTGTGTTATCTGGTCCTCTAATAATTTTAGGGTGTTCGGAGATGTACCAAATTATCGGCCAATGTAAGGCAAACACCTTCAAGGTTTTAAAGGTAATGTACATACGTTTGAAAGAACACAGGGAAAGGCGTACACAAAGCCTTTGTGCATTATGCGAAAACCATCAGCAGTTCCTAAAGAAGTGCATTGCGGTCCTCTTGTCGGAGGCCACAACCAAACAACAGTTTAGTCATATTGACCGACAGACAACAGTGAGACAAACTCAACTGTGGACCAGTTCTGCTATTATTATGACTCATCAGTGCAGTATAGTCATTAGTCATTAATGCTCTCACTGCTGCAGAGTCTGCCTCTGGGAACCACGCGCCCCAACAGAGTTCCCACTTCCACACCGCATTCAGAAATGTCCACGTGCTCCTACAGTTTACGGAGGCGGTGCCATACAGAGAATACATTGCACAATAAGTTGGAGGCACTTGCACAGCCCTTGCCGCATGACCTTGTTTAAAGGGAGGGGGCGTACAGAAGAAACGCAAGGGTGGGTACGACACAATGTTAGACAAACTTTAACCAAATGTTACACCCAAAACAGAATGAGTGACGATTACGATCTGACTTTAATCTACTGTGCGTTCTGCTCTGGCTACCACCCGCTGGTGTATGTGAGGAAAGGCTGCACACGCCAATCGCTTAAATTACCACGGGTGTTAAATATTGTACCAACATTCTTTGACTTGGCTATGAGAATTTAAAAGGGAGGGGGCTCAGCTCTCTACAGCCCCCTGACACTACAGGTCTGTCACTGGAGCACGGGCATCTGGTTAGTGTGACACGACCATTGCTTTCTCTCTCAACTTCACATCGGTCTATGCACAATGAAAAGTTGCCCCGCGTTCTCTGCTCTTGTCAGCTTGTCGAGGCCTAATTGGCCGATGAGTGTCTTCACTTGTGCCCGTCCTTTTAAATCTGAAGCCCTTTGTGGTGCGATTCTTATCTCGTAGCCCCATCATGCCTGCACGGTATGTCGCGGTAGCATTTGAGTTTAGATGTTGTGTAACATCAATCACTGTTTGTTCCGAATTGCAGCAATCAATTGGCTTAGCCAAGACCGCTTTTAAAGAGGTCAGAGGGGCAGGAACAAGGAAGACGCCAGACATAAATGTGAGCGTGAAGATATTGACGGTGTCCGTGTGAAGTTTAGGGGACTAGCCAGTGAAAGATGGACACTCTGAAAGGATTGCGGTGAAAAGGTGAAATGTATTCGAGATGTGGTGTCAGAGAAGTGAATAATGTAAGCTCTCGTGACAATGAGAAAGAATGGCTGCAAGTCGGATGAGAAGGAAGGGTGGCCCACGCAGGACATATCCTTAGACGGTCATAGCTAGAGACGCGACGAAGATTGTTCTGCAAAGGAAATGGCAGAAGGGAAGGGGAAGGAAGTGGGTGAGTTGGTGGGACAATGTGAGACGGTCGGACGGAACTCTCCTTGAGAGACAAACGAAGATCGCGACAAATGGAACGCATCTGTCATGGGCATCCACCATCAGTGATGATGATGACACGAGATAAATACATGTAAACAAATATCATTACACACCTACGTACTGTAATAAGATAATGGTGTGCATATTGTAGTGATCATGATGTTCTTAAGATAATAGTATGCTAAAAATGGTATTTGGCATGCACAACTTCACCCACACACCCCAGTCATTGTATCATTTTATTGAAGAATAATTTATCCTTTTTTTGCTGTTGTGCAGCATGGACACGCTCTAGTGCAGTATTGGGCACCATGTGGCCTGGCGGGTAACCTGCGTCCTGTGTAGACCCTCGTGGTGGCCGGGTCTAAGTGACATTAGACCTCTTTTGCCAGTACCAAAATATAATAATAGGGGTTTTTCCCATTTTTTCTGGCAACAAAACTGAAACCTTTTTACGAGGATTCATGTCTGCATTAACCACAATACCTGCAGTCAAAATGCAAACAAAAAACATACTATGATAATATATGCATTGTCCTGGCAAAAGAGGTCTAATGATGTAGATGCTCACCCCGAGCCTTCATTACTTTGATAGTGCATTGTCTTTGAGCCGTGTACGCCTTTTGGCGTCATCTGGTCGAGCACCAATTGGGTCGAGGCTCAAAAGAAACCCGTCCCTTGGTGTGGACCAATCAGTTTCAAGGACAATGCATATATTATCATAGTATGTTTTTGGTTTGCATTTTGACTGCAGGTATTGTGGTTAATGCAGACATTAATCCTTGTAAAATGGTTTCAGTTTTGTTGCCAGAAAAAAGGGGAAAACCCTATTATTACATATTGGTCTAGGTGTGTCAAGGCCCTAGGGTCATGCGTGGGGTCGTGATTAGTACACAAGCACGATTTGAAACTTGCGGCCCACTGAGGTGGAGGAGGGCCGCTCACGTGACCCACTGACTCATGTGGCCCACTCACACGTCTCGGTTGGCCATCACTGCTCTCACGTGACCCACTGACTCATGTGGCCCACTCACACGGGTGGGTTGGCCATCACTTCTCTCACGTGACCCACTGACTCATGTGGCCCACTCACACGGGTGGGTTGGCCATCACTACTTTCACGTGGCCCACTGACTCATGTGGCCCACTCACACGTCTGGGTTGGCCATCACTGCTCTCACGTGACCCACTGACTCATGTGGCCCACTCACACGTCTCGGTTGGCCATCACTGCTCTCACGTGGCCCACTGACTCATGTGGCCCACTCACACGTCTGGGCTGGCCATCACTGCTCTCACGTGGCTCACTGACTCATGTGGCCCACTCACACGTCTGGGCTGGCCATCACTGCTCTCACGTGGCCCACTGACTCATGTGGCCCACTCACACGTCTCGGTTGGCCATCACTGCTATCACGTGACCCACTGACTCATGTGGCCCACTCACACGGGTGGGTTGGCCATCACTGCTCTCACGTGGCCCACTGACTCATGTGGCCCACTCACACGTCTCGGTTGGCCATCACTGCTCTCATGGCTGCAGGATTTCCATGAACCATTCACATACAACGTATATTAATGAAAAAACGCCACTGTATTTTTACGTTTAAAATTCAATGCACGTGACAGGAACAACCACGAGATTTTGTGGATTGATTAATCTTCTCTACCTGTGAACTTTGAATTTTCTTGGCCAATGGCTCCCTCTGCTGGAATATTTGGAATGTATTGTTTCGTTTCGATTTAAAGCTTTCGTGACTGCAAGGATTCATCTTCTTTGGTTCTTTCGGTAAGGTCACGTAGAATGAGAATAAAATAATGAAATAACAAAATAAAATTCTCACGACGTTTCGGCCACAACGCAAGCTCTGTCGTCCCGACAGGTCTGTACCTTTCACCTGAAGACGGCTGCTTGCGTTGTGGCCGAAACGTCGTGAGAATTTTATTGTGTTATTTTATTATTTTATTCTCATTCTACGTGAACTTACCGAAAGAACCAAAGAAGATGTATAGTTTCGGTTAATGCTATGCAATAAATACAGTTACTGTGACTTCCTGTGGGCTGATTGGATGGAATTCCAGGTCAGTTGGCTTAAAGGCTTACAATTCACTCCTCAGCGTAACACTCATCAGCTGCTGGCATTGCATGAGGCCCCATCAGCCACGTTTCCCCACTGTCAACATGAAACTGGATGAGACTCGAGCATTCAGGCATTTTCACATGTTCTAGGTCATTATGATTATTAACAATACAAAAAAACATGTACATGACATGCGCACACTCATGATGCATTGCTTTGGAGAATTATAGGTAAGGCAAATATTAGCAGAGTCCCATTAACAAC